AATGTGCAATGTGATGGAGGTGACATCTTTATTATAAATGATGAAATGATTTAGGCATTCAGAAAGTGCAGAAACAAACATAGTAGACACTGTGTAAGTACACCAAGATTATAGGGGTTGTTCATTTTGTTTGTTTGCTTCATCTCTTTTTATTTATTTATTTATTTTTTAATCCTCACCCGAGGATATTTTTCCATCCTTTGTACAGATAGAGTGGGAGGGAGAGAGAGGAAGGGAGAGAGAGAGAGAGAAACATCGACGTGAAGCGACACATCGAGTGGCTGCCACCCGCACGACCAACCAGGGCCGGGGATAAACTGCAACCGAGTACGTGCCCTTAGTGGGAACCGAACCCGGGTCTCTCCGGACCGCAGGCCGACGCTCTAACCGCTGAGCCAAACTGGCCAGGGCTGCTTCATCTCTTTTTTTAAAGGGAAAAAAATGCAAGGCTGAAGGTCCACCCCTTCTTCTCCCTTCTCCCCTCCCTAGAGAGTGCCATCGTATATATACTTTTCGGTGCAAGTTTTTGTACTTTTACTACATATGTATATTCATGAACAATATTTACTACTATTGTGTATTAAAAATTTATACAAATGGTATCACATTGCATTAACCTTTTGTTGATTTCTTTTTAAATTCAGCATTATAATTTTTAGATTTGAGCTGTGTCAGTGTGTGGGTCTTACTGCTCTGCTCTTTCCATTGTATGACTGTAGGAACCTGTTTTTTCATTTACCTACTGTGCTAGAGTTTGATTGTGCCCTCTGTCTGCCCTCGTGAGCAGTGTTCCATCGAGGGTCCTTCCTGGGGCAGGTGAGCGTTTCCTGGGCGCGTGTTTATGTTCGTGGAAGTGGCGGGGCCCGTGTGCCTTGGCACCCGGTGAGCAGCTGCTCTCCAGAACGTTGTTAGAAACAAAGAGGGGAAGTAAACCTTGATCGTTTCTTCAGGTTTGAATTGTGAGCATGTAGTTCAGGGTCAGGTGAAATGAAAGATGGAGCCTGGAACTCTGCTCATTCAACGTGATGCAGAGGTGTGAAGTGAACCCTGAACCCTTTATCAAAGTAGTTTCTCAAAATAAACATTAACGTAAACTTTCCCCTCCAACAGTGTTGGGAAGCACCCAGATTTCTTTGGAAATTCGAATGAAGGTTCTGCTACTGTGTGTGCTCACGTTCTTCCTTAAGGACCTCTTATTCGGGGACCGGTAGAATAGATTCTTATCTTTCGTGTTTGTTTTTAAATAACAAACAGAAAAGCTGTCACCCTAGGAGTTTTTGGAGATTTTTACTGAGTTTAAATTAGAGCTATTATTTTCACTTACACCGCGCTACACGTCCAGGGCGTTTGCTGGGCAGTGATGACCTAGAGGGCGAGGCTCAGTGTCGCGGCTGGTGGATGAAGCTGGATCTACGTGTATCAAAGATTTGGATACATGTGACTTCAGTGTTATAATGTGTTTCTTCATTACTTAAAAAAAATTTTTTTAATAATAACTTGATTTAATAACCTGTTAGATGACATTCATTCATTCGTTCATTCGTTCATTCAACAAACGTCTGTTGGCTGCCAGGCTCTCTTCCAGGAAGCATACCATGAGTGTGAGAGCTTATATTTTAGTGATGAGGGTAGATAGTAAATACATGATCACATAATTAAGGAGTTAACTAACTAAATCAGATCATCTCCCCTGGGGTGAAATAAAATCGGAAACAGGCATGAAGATGAGGAGGTGGGGGCTGTGCTCGGCTCGCCAGGCGGGTCAGGGAGAGGTGGCTTTGGAGCGGAAGGCTTTGTGTCCTTGACTCTCAGCACTTGGTTCCTGGTACTCAGTATCGTGCACTCAACAGCCTGGTAATCTTATTTATCCTGAATATGGTTGAGAGCTAAGAATAAACAAAAAGACTCTCAGTAGCCAAAATCGACTTCACAAAACAGTGAAAGCCCACGTGCTTCCCTCATGGGCTGATCCGTCACAGTTGTAACAATGTGGTGGGTTTCTCTGTCCTCAGCAGATTCCATTGGGGATCGAGTTCAGAGTCACGAGCAGTGGCTGCGTGCTTTGATGGCATGTGAGAAGACAGCACAGTGACACCAGAGTTGTGCTCTGGGGCTGTGCAGAGAGCTGGCGGCAGAAGGCTTGGGCCTTCACTGTGTTCCAGCCCAGCTTGTCAATTTACCATAATGATTATTTGTTTAAAGATGTCAGAAAGGCATACAATAGATTTTTGAAAGCCTTGTATCTAAATTAATTAAAACAAAAACAATATTGCCCTGGCCAGTGTGGCTCAGTTGGTTGAGCATCATCCTGTGCACCGAAAGGTTGCCAGTGTGATTCCTACTCAAGGCACATGCCCAGGTTTGCAGGTCCGATCCTCAGTCTCTCTCTCCCTCCCCCTCCCTCTCCCCCTGTCTCCCTTCTACTCTCTCTACAAATCAAAAGCATATTAACAAAAACAATATTGATCACTAAAAATTAGACTTTAGTTCCAGACAACTGAAGTATTTTACTTAGAAATTGCTCTTTAAAGGTAAAACTTAGGAATAATACTTTAGAGCTAACACTGCAACTTGTAGTTTAATAAGTAATTGTCGCATCTGTGTAGAATTCCTAGTGGGCTTATTATACTGCTGGTTATAATAGTAATATGAATTAATAGAGAAGGCAGTCCCATTTTAGAGGTGGAGACGTAGGCCAGATAGCATTATGATTGACCATATTTCCACGCCTGAGGAGCACAGTAGGACTTGGATTTAGATTTTATACATTTTAACCCAGAGAGTCTTTAGCTGAACTAGAGTTAGTGATCTCTGTTCTGTTCTCTTCCGTTTTGTTCTGTGGCTCCCACGGAAGGGCAGTGGACTAGCTGATTGGCCCCAGGCCCCAGGTCTAACTGCCAGTCCACTTGTGCACATTATAGGTCACCTCACCCTAGCCTCGCAGAGGGTGAGGTGCCAGTTAGGTTAGTGCCAGATGAGTTAGACCATGTCTCAAAAAGCAGAGCAAGTAGGTTTCTAGTTGTGGAAGACAGTGAGATCTGCCGAGGAGACGTGTCGGAGGGCTCCCCCCAAGCCCGCCTGCCCTGCACATTGTTGCTGTGGCTCCACTGAAGGTGCACTTGTGCCCCCGCCCGCACGCCCGCCTCTCAGGCCGCCTCCCCCACCCTGCCTACCCAAGCTCTCAAAGCTGAAAGATGGAGATTCTGGTACATTGTGACTCCTCCAGTCTTAGCAGACTCCTTCCTGGAACATCCTGTTGTTGTTTCGCTTGGAAAATAGAGCCCCTGCCCCAAACAACACTTCCATATTGTGTGTGAGCTTTCTGTAAACCAGAAAGCAGCATATTAAAGTGCAATTCAGAGGGGAGTTTGCTGGCTGTGTTGACTGAGCTTTGCAGTCATTTTAACACCGGCAAAAGTGTTATCCTAACTGCTTCAAATCAAACTGCAAAGATGCTTGTGTGAAATATCGTATTAGATATCAAATCAAACATATGGGTGTTGAACGGAAGGATATGTGTTGTGGGTAGTATATGGTATTCCAGCATGTGGAGTTGTATTTTATGGAAATTCTTTGGCTTGGCTTATGGCAGGGACACACATTCATTATGAGATATCAAACTGTAAAATAAATAAAAGCAAAGAATTCAACTGTGCTGTTAAAGGATTTTCAGTGCAAACTTGTCTGCTCTACTGACTTAGGCTCTGTGTGATGGAGGCACTTGTGAGCATGTGAGCATGGTGGCCAAATGCTCCGTGATCATTGCTGACAGATCTTGGAAATACCCCGATTGGTTCAAGAGGAATGTGAACTTGAGCTTTTTTGCCTTCTTTCCTTTTTCTTCCTTGTATGTGTTATGAATTACAGTGCTAATTGGTCGTAGAGGCAGAGTATTTAACATTTTTCTCCTTTAACCGTTCCCTCTTTTTTATCAGTCAGCATTCTATAGAGAATCTGTTTTTCAAGTATGTGTCTGGAACTGATCACTGACTTTTTAAGTGTGTGGGCTTATGGGGCTCAAGTTCTTGGAGTTCTCAGATGGACCGTATTGTGGTATCATCAGTGACTTCACCATTCTCGTCCCTAGAGTGCTTTTTTCCATCGTGATGTCTTGGTTTTCTTTTCTTCTCCCGCTTTCTCTCCCACTTAGAAAAAACAGTCAATAGATTTCTCATTTGAAAAAGAAAACATTAAAAAATATCAACGGTTTACTTAATGCATGAGGAAGGAAGGACTTCAAGTATTTTAATGTAAATTAGAGATGGAGAGGACTCATTTCAGGCCATATTTTTGTGTGTCTCTGGTTTTTGCAGTGCAGTACACTCTGCTTTACATCATTACCTGTTTCACCCACTAGGAAAAGCTGTTCTTGTATTAGATACAAATATCTTCCCTTCAAGTAATCATACTGATGGGTGTGTTATTTGGTATTCATAGTATTATTCTAAAAGGATTTCATTTGATTGTAAAGCAGTGTAGTAGTTTGTTTTTCAGCCAAATTGTCAATGAAATTGCTAATGTGACTGTACTGTATGTGCTACAAACGGATTGGAAAGTTCTGGCCTTAGTTGAAATGAACATGCTCCCAAACCACAGCATTCTACAAAATGTGAGTGAGTGAATCTGGACCCCTGGAGTTCATTTTTAGCTTGTGTGTTGAGTGAGAATGAATTAACATAAATGCTTCTTTCTTAGCAGAGGCTATTTTTAAATGTCAGTATTAGGATCCCCCCCCCCCCAGATTTTTACGAAGTTATCAATATTTGCTGTCTGATAAAACTATTATTTTTTAAAGCAAAGTCAAATTATCCTTTGTCTTCATAGATAGTATGTGAATAGAAGGCAGGATGTCGATTTCTGTAAGGGGAAAGAATATTAAAAATATTGAATTCAATTGCTTAGCAAAGAACCTGCTTCACGTCACTGAATTGAAACCACATTTAATTTCACTGAATTGCACTTTTTGACTTTCTTGCTTTCTTTGCCTGACTTTTTGACAGATGCCACCTCAGTATGGACAGCAGGGTGTGAGTGGGTACTGCCAACAGGGCCAGCAGCCTTACTACAACCAGCAGCCGCAGCCTCCGCACCTCCCTCCGCAGGCTCAGTATCTGCCGTCCCAGCCCCAGCAGAGGTACCAGCCGCAGCAGGTGAGCGCAACTAGTGACTGCTCTCGGGCCTCTGTTCTGTCCTCCAGGTCCGGCGAAGGCCACACTCGGCTCTCAGACGCCTTCCTGCCTCCCTTTACAAACTCTTCCTGGTGGGGAAAAAGGTAGTTTTGAGAAAGTGCAAAACTATAACCTAAACTGTTTGTTTATGAATGGGTGTTTGAGATTGAAGGGTAGGAAGAATGTTTAATAGCTTCTTACATTACTGGATAGTGACAGAAGAAAATGCCAGTCTTTTCATATTCTTTGTCATTTGTGTTCTGAATCTTTCAAGAAAGTGGTCTGTCACTTTGAGGCTTATTCAGGAAAATGGTTTTATCGATCATTTTATCTTGTTAGTTGGCACATTCATGGTATTTTTATCTTGCTCTTTTTTTGTTTTGTTTTGGTTTTTAATGGCAAGTACTACTATATCAAAACATCGATGCCTTTGGCAGTGTTATTCTTCTTTAACCAGCTTATAAACAGATAATCACTTCAATTACAACATATTACAATACTAAAGGGAATCATGTACTTTAAGTATATTAAGCAGCTTCTAGTTTAAATTAGCCTCATTAAATACTCTTGTTGGTTATTGAGCTATATATTTCAGCATATAATTTATAGAAAAATAGTATATATGCATTTGGTAAAATTATTCAGTTTCATCATGTTTTAGAGGCTGTCATTGAGTGATACTAAAGTGTCATGAGCTAGGGCCTCTTACTTTGAATCCAGATAAAACTTCCATATGCTTCCAGTCACAAGCATCATGATGTAACTTTCCATTTGATATCTTTTTCTCTTCTTCCTCTTTTGTGGGGTAGGGCTGGTGAAGAGATGGGAAGACAGTGACATTGACTATTTTATTTTTAACCTATTTTCACACATCTTGAAGGTATTGTTGAGGCAAAGTAAAATATATAAATATATGAAGCTTACTCAGTTCGATTGATTTCTTAAGTATTATCTTGGATTCATTGGAGTCTCCCCATGTGACTTTTATTTAAGAGTTTTAAAAGGAGTTTATGACTTTAAACAAAATAGGTTAAACATGTTAAATCCTGTCTTTTGCATATATGTTTTCAAAATTTTGTTATTATATAAAGGGATTTATAGAGGTCGGATTGAACATTATTTCCAAGTTATTTGTTACGATCTTTTATTAAAATGTGGGAAAATAAAAAACCTTTCTCATTTCTTTTTTAAGTAGAAGACTGGTATCTGGGTTTGTGAGATACAAAGTTATAGGCTTTTCAAGGGTTTTCAGAAGCTTATTGAACTTCTCTGTAGATACAGAATGTTTTGTCATGTCATCAAAATTTAGGAAGGACTCAACTGAGAGATTTCATCACTTGTTTTCCTTCAGTGTGCTAAAATGAATCTCTGGTTGTAAAACCAGTTTGGTTAAGGGTTCTGAGTGCCTGTCATTTCCTTCAAGACCAAGCTCAAATTTACTTCCTTTATGAAGCAGTCATTGATGACTTCTACCACATGGTAATTAGTTATTTAATATCCTTCACATTTAAATATTTAAAGCATTCTACAGGTAAAATTTTATTTTAATGAATAGTTTTTTAATGGGCTTAGTTTAGGTCTGTTTTATGCTTTGACTGTTAATATCATTGTATAGGAAATACTATGTAACCATGAGTTTTTAACATAAATATTGTGTTTATCCTGAGAAAAACCAAACATTCCTCAAAGTGTGTTGGAAATGCTTTCTTGTTTTCATACTTCCTAACTGTAATGTCTAGCCTTGTTTAAGTTTTATTAAACTCATTATGGGGGCAAGCAGGGGAGTTGGAGACGTCGGCACCCTAACCAGAGGGTCTGGTCTGACAGGAACAGTGTGTTTTTTAGGGAGTTCGATGTTCTGACTGATTAGAAAGTTTCTCTGGGAAGTGAGATCTTGTACTTTAGATATAGTTAGCACCTCCAAAAACAGAAGAATTTCCCTAAATATATCCAAAAACAGAGTAAAAATAGCCAATAGAATATTTTAAAAATCAGGCTGAATTTTAATAAGAATTTGTAATACTGAATTCACATACATTTAAAGACCAAAGAAACTTAATTATGTTTAATGTAATAAGCCTGTTTTTCCTAACAGACAAAACATTTCTTTCTGCAGACTTTTTTGTTTCCAGACATAGCAGTTATAGGTTTTATATTTGGGAATCAATCAGCAAATGATACTTCATGTGTCTTGTCAATGTGACCAATGCAAAAGGTAATTTTAGAGTACCATTAAAATACCTCACTCTCTTTGTGTCTTTAACGTTTTTAAAATGTATAATGCTTTGAATAATCAATATATTCATATGTTGAAAAAATTTTAAAGTACAAGGAAAGGATACAGATGAAGGTCTCCCACCACAGTTCTTGCTAACTCACCACCCACCCCATTCTTTGCCAGATGACCACTTTATTACTGTGTTGTATGTCTTTCCAGAATTTTCTTTTCTTTTTTTTTTTTTTTTTAAATCCTCACCCGAGGATATTTTTCCATTTTTTGTACAGATAGAGTGGGAGGGAGAGAGAGAGAGAGAAACATCAACGTGAAAGGGACACATCGAGTGGCTGCCACCCGCACGACCAACCAGGGCCGGGGACAAACTGCAACCGAGGTACGTGCCCTTAGCGGGAACCGAACCCGGGTCTCTCCGGACCGCAGGCGGACGCTCTAACCGCTGAGTCAAACCGGCCAGGGCTCCAGAATTTTCTTTATACAAAGCAGCAAAATACCGTATTTTAATTTTTACCCCATTTTTACACACATGGTGGCATACTATAACATCCTGTTCGTGCGCTCTGTTCTTTGTAACCCCGTCCTCCATTCACGTAATTTTCCGAAGATCTCTGTGAAGGAGTACGTAACGCAGTCCTTCATTCTATTTTATATAGCTTTATTCTGTTTTATGAACATACCATAATGTATTCAACTGGTTCTCTTTTGGTGGTCATTTATGTTATTTTTAGTTATTTGCAATTTAAACAATATTGTCATGATAAACTTTGAATATGTGCCGGTTCGTAAGTGTGCAAGTATTGGAGGATGAATTCCTGGACTCGACACTGCAGTTAGGATTTTGGTAAATACTGCCAGATTGTTCCTTCGAGGGGTGTACCAATTTATACTCCACCATCCGTGTGTGAGAGTACTTGTTTCCCTACACGTGTGCCAGAGGCATGGTTTTATGAAGCTTCTGGATTTTTGCCAATCTGATAATATAGTTTTAATTTGCATTTATCTTGTGATTGATGGTTAAACATCTTATATATTTAAAAGTCTTTGTATTTTTTTTTCCTGGACTTTAAACTGTCACATTTTTTTATCTTAAATTTTTCTATTTAGTTGTTGACCTTTTAAAAAATTGTTTTATGAAAACTCTTAATATATGAGGTAGACTGGACCTTTGTGATTTGAATTACTTACCACAATAATCATCTTGTCACTTGACACTAATGGGACCTTTTTTGGGGGGTGGGGTTCATGCAGAGGGGCTTTTAAGTTAACTTTATGTAGTCAAAATTATTTTTTCTATTATGATCTTTGGATTTTATTTTTAGTGGTAGTATGAGCCTTTTATACTTCAAAGTTACAAAGTAACTTTTTCATGTTCTTTTATAGTATTTTCATAGATTCATTTTTTACATTTCATTTGTCCTAATTTGTGGAGAAACGTATTATCTAACTTAATTGTCTTTCAAATGGCTGCTTGGTTGTTTGAGTACCTTTCCTTGTGGAGGCTATTTTATCAGGGCTTTGGGGAAGCAGAGCCAATGGGATGTGTATATGTATACTCATCCGATCGGGTAGGATAAAGTGATTTATTGTAAGGAATTGTCTAACATAATTACGGAGGCTGGCAACTCCAGAATCCACTGTGCGGGCCAGCATGCTGGAGACCCAGGAGATGTTCCAGTTCTCATCCCAAGGTTGGTGGCTCAAGACCCAGGATGAGGGCCCGCAGTGAAGATGAAGTCTGGAGGCAGTTTGTGGGTCTTTTTGTTCTGTTCAGACTTTCACCTGATTGAATGTGTAAACCCAGGTTATGGAGAGCATATACTTTATTTAAAGTCACTGATTAGGTGTTAATTTCATCCAAAACCACTCCGAGTTGACACATAAATTTAACCGTTAAGAGTTATCTTTTTCCAATTGACTGGAGATGCCATTTTTTTTTAATCCTTACTGGAGGACATTTTTCAGTTTTTGTTCAGATGGAGTGGGAGGGAGAGAGACAGACAGACACATTGACGTGAAAGGGACGCATAGAGTGGCTGCCTCCCACACGACCCAACCAGGGCCACGGACGAAGTGCAACCGAGGTACGTGCCCTTGACCAGAATCAAACCCGTGACTCATTGGTCCGTGGCTGATGCTCTAACTGCTGAGCCAAACCAGCCAGGGCTGGAGATACCACTTTTGTTAGTTGCTGAACTTCCTTAGGTACAGGGTGGGGTTATTTTGGGATTTTCTGTGAAACAGATGATACTTAGAAAAATAGTAAAACAGCCCTGGCCGGTTTGGCTCAGCTATTAGAACATCAGCCTGCGGTCCAGAGAGACTGGGTTCAGTTCCCACTAAGGGCACGTACCTCAGTTGCAGTTTGTCCCCGGCCCTGGTTGGTCGTGCGGGTGGCAGCCAGTCGATGTGTTCCTTTCACATCGATGTCTCTCTCTCTCACTCTCTCTCCCTCCCTCCCACACTATCTGAACAAAAAAATGGAAAAAATATCTTCGGGTGAAGATAGAGAAAAGGAAAATAGTAAAACAAAAATAAGCACCGCACTTGAGCAGTTTTCGCACACCGACCACAGACCAGGAGCACTTTTGCAATAAAACAAGTTGGGTTTATTCCGAGGAGCCTCAGGAACATTGTGGGAAGATGTGGGGGCTGGGCGTGTGCTCAGTGATTCCAGGAGGGATGAAGGAAGGGGGTCCCACCTGGCTGTCTGCTCGCAGAAAGCGGGGGCCTTTGGTGACGAGGTGGT